TCCCTCCCACCAGGGATGCATGGAGGAAACCATGCGAGGAGAGAGGAAATGACAATTAAGAGACTTGAGAAGTACCCTAAGTCGGTGTTTTTCCTGCACCGCTGAACAAGTGCCGTAAATGCTGGAATAATTCTGTTGCCTAAAAAATGCCCTTCAAAATAAAATCACTTTTTTTTTTTGTCAGGCAAAGGCCAGCGACCCACTGAAAACGGGTCCACGACCCACCAGTTGAGAATCACTGGGCTAGTGCATAGCCAGTGTTTAGCAAGTTAACTTATCAGTGGAGTAGCTAGCTATAGGAAGAAGGAGATTGGGAGCTTGTATGTTCATGATAACCTTATCAAGAGATGTCTGACCATCTAATCTTCCACTGTATTACAAGTTATGCTGTATCTTCTCAATGTGAATGTCATAATGCCATATCAATTACTGGCAGATAATATAGTTCACAGTTAGCCAGGCTATGACAGTAGATGTCCATTTGTTAAAAAAAACAAAAAAACATTAAATATCCAATTTGTTTTATTTAAAAGGCATATTATGAAAGTATTCTTAGTTTTATTATTTTTATACATTCTACAGTCGGCCAGGTGGACAACATGTCTCAGCAAGATGATGTTCAAGAAGGACCATCAACAAGCACAGATGTGCTTAGTTACGCTGACATTCTGTGACTGTTCTTCCTTTTAGTGTTCTTCCTTTTAGTGGGCTTCACCAGAGCTTTGTGTACATTATATAGCCCAAACCTGAATGCTCTGCTATACCAAATTATGAGAAAACGGAAAATCCAGAAAAAAGTATTTCCTATATTTTAAATACAAAATACATGTATTGTATTTTGTTACATTTTCTGGCACCAGTATTTTGTATTTTATTTTGATAAATTTATTTGAGGGGTATTTTGTATTTTGTATCAAAATACATTTTGATGTATTTTTGCCCATCTCTGTCTGTAAATGACATGCACTGTAATCTTCAAAAAAGAAGAAAAGAAATTCATGCTCCAAAAGGGAGAAATGGATGTATTTTTGGATTTTCCGTTTGTGCGTGAACTAGTCAGAATGCAGTTGGTTCTCTGATTATGTGACGCTGACTCTTCCCCACAGCCAGACTGCAGACTCAACTCAAAGAAAAGGCTTTGAGTTAGAATTACAATCCACATGAACCTTCCAGCGAGTATCTCTCTTTCTATTCTACTAACAAGGACGCGTCTTGTTCTGAATAGTGTCTTGCTCAAAGAGCGACCAAACAAACATCCAACAAAGAAGAGTGCACACTTCATGTCAGTTTGCAGGCTACATAGCTAATTAGTCAGCTGAAGCACATTTGGATGCTAAATGCTGTGGTCCTTACTCGGTGCCACTTCAAACGAAAAGCTATCCGTCTTTGGCTTGTGAGCTACATTTTTGTTGCACAAGTTTGTTTGTAATGTCTCGCTGCCCCTGAAGGCTTGGCTGTCAATCAAAAATATCCACCCCGCCCACTCAGATGCTTTTTAGACCAAAGGAGCATGTCTATAAAATCTCCAAAGACAATTTTTCTCTTCTTTTTCATAATAATACCTGATTTACATTTTGGCTGCAAGAGGAATATGTTTTGTGATCACATTGCGACTTGAAAATATCTTTACTTATAAAATTATGAAGGTATTGGTTTTATTTTTCACCCAGAGTCAACTTCATTATGCCATGTTCACACCATAATGAAGCGTCATTGGCGCCGCCGGTCTCGCCGGGGACTATTTGTGTTCATTCGCGTGAATCGCGCTGGAGAGGGGGCGTGGCTTATCCCCCTGGAAACCGTTCAACTGTCCGCCATCAACCATGGAAAAAAATAACCTGTATTTCTGCTTAGTACGTGTTGTGGAAGTCACAGATGTCCCGGGAAACTAAACGCCGTCATGTCTGGTTCATAACATTGTTCAGAGGAGCTCCGTGGATTTTATCGAGCTGTATTCACTGTGTCTAGCAAGCCACACGTCGCTGTTTACTACAGCTGTATGAACACTAAATAAACTGATCTGGCTGTGATTTAACGGCAATAAACCGACAAAAAGGGACTCCGAAATAACTACGTAATGATGCCGATTTGTAAAAGGTCTGAATTCATGTTTTGTTAGTTCTCTCTGCAAGACGACAAACAAATCACTTTTAAAATTCTTGTTTTCTCAATGGAGCGGACTGATCGGTGCTAGGCTAAGCTAACATTGTAGCAGCTCCACCAACACTCCATAACGTCATCTAGACATAAATACGGCAGCGTCTATTCATTGTTTGTACCATATGGTTTACACACACACATTTATACACATAGTTTGGTCCGGTCTCTATTGATATGAGGTATCATAGAGCTCTGTGTGAACACAGACGGCTACAGTATTTATTTCCTGATTCAACAACGGCAGGAAGTCAGTGATGACAGGAGAAACATCTCAACGCTGATAGGCTGTCGCGCCGGGGCGTAACGCGAATATTTCGCCGAAGTTGAAAAATTTCAACTCGCGCGTTTGGGGCGATTTGGCGTTTGACGCGAATTCAATCGCGCCGCGCCATCGCAAATTCGCGCCGCGCCAGTCTCATCGCGTCTGTGCATAGACTTTGTATGTAATCTACTCGCACGAATAATTCGTGCCGCGTTTGGTGTGAACGCAGCATAACATCGCCAATCATCAGTCAGAATTACCCCAATAAGTCATTTTTTCAAAATTGTTCAGCCTTAGCTCCACCAACAATTGCAGTCTCCCATCCTCCTCAGCCAAAAGAAGATCTGAGCTGCATCTTTCAGTTTGAATAATTTATAACTTGAGTTGCTTTTAAAATGTTGAAAGCTCAACCTAATTTATCCCCTTGGGCTCTGGGATATTATAGATGACTTGATTAATTGATAAAAGTAATCTACAGATTTATTAGTGATGAAATGAAATGGGCAGAGAAACCGGAGAGCTCTGAGAATGTCTGTTGGGTAAAAGATGTGAACGTTTCATTGTCACGATTCTGTCAGCTCATGTCCATGAGAGCATATAACGGAGGCTTAATGCAGAGGCTGTGCTCAACGGACAGGCAATATAAGCTTGCTTTTGTTGTTTCTGCGTGAAGCCAGCATCAAAACATTTAGTGTCTCTGTGTCTCCATCCTCCTCGTCCTGCTTTCATTCTCCATCAGAAGAAGCAGTTGGACAGAAACCAAGCTGCAGCCTCTCCCTTCCTCTCTCTCTCCTCCATCTGAGGCGGAGGCAGCCATTCTGGACCCACCGACTTGTTGTTCATGCGCCGGCCGCGATGAGCTGACATTTTAACGTTGACGGCTTTGTTCTGCATGAGTGTGCTGCGTCTGCTCAAATCACACCACGGGAAAAAAAAACGTGAGATGATTTCTGGAAATGCAGTCGCAGTGCTGCCCCCCCCCCCCCCCCACCGGCCAGCAAAAAAAGCTATTTTCGCTGCGAAAGGTACTTGGCAAACAAATAAAGATGAGGAAATTGAGGGGAGAGAGAGAAAAGCCCGCTGTTCTTGCTGAAAGCTGGTGCCGTTATGGTTTTACTTCTTCCAGCTTTGGGATTTACAGGCAGGCTAAACTCTCTCTGGCCAGGTCCATCGATCGTTACTCTAATGCTCATCTGAAAGCAAGTCAGGTTTTACATTTCTTTTTTCTTCAGCATCCACTTTTTTTTCTCTTTCAACCTCTTTAAAGCTTTTTTTATCACTTAAATTTCCCCTTAAGCAGCTTTAGAAAAACTCTTTTTCTGCACTGCTTGACAGCTTCACACATTCTATTCTGCATCTGTGTGTTCCATGATAAATAATCCAAAACTAGCATGTTTTTTAAGGCACAGGTGAAAAATATTGTAGATGTCTTCAGCATCATTTAGTTAACTTTTTCCCCAAAGTTCTGTCTGACATATTTGGTATAATTAGATTTTTGTGGGCTTTGCAATTATGGCTTTTACAGTATTCACACATGCAGAATTAAAGTCATTTTTTCATGATCCTGAAGCTTCTGGGCATGTTGGGCATTGAGCATGTCATAGCTGTGATTGAGCAGCTATTTGCTTTGGCTCGTCCCTCAATCAGAAGAATGGTGGTTCGATCCCCAGCTCCTCCAGTCATGTCGATGTGTCCTTGGCAAGACACTAAACCTTTGCCATCAGTGTATGAATGGGTGAATGACATGTAGCGTTAAAGCACTTTGAGTTGTTGGTAGACTAGAATGGTGCTATACAAGTACAGTCCATTAACTATTTACCATTATACCGCAGATCAAGTAGTTCACTTCCAGAGTTTCTCTTATTTAATTTCAGGTAAAGCACTTTAAAGACATGAATGGAGATAATTGGGAATCTTTTGACCGGGACAATCAGCTTTTTGTCTCTTCTGTCCGCTACATGAACACAAGTGTGCTTCTGTTTCCTGAAGGAATCAAAACGATCAGGATTGGTCGTCTCCAGGTTGTTGCTCCCACATGTCGAGACATTTTCATAGTTGAAAAGTTGAACCTTTCTCAACTTCCCTAGGCTGCACCGCTGGGTGACTATTGAGTCTCGAGTTGTGGAGGATGGTACCAGGATGTTGTTTCAAGGTTCAATTAAAAAAAAAGAAAAGAAAAAAAACCTCTGTCCAGCTCCGGTGATGGGGCGAAGTGTTCAAGGATCCATAAGGAATAATGAAGTTATTAAATAAGGAAACAAATGGTTTTCCCAGTTTGGTGTGGAAGAGGTTGAATCCAACACCTAGAATAAATCTACATTTTCCACGACTGGTTGAATGATTCAAACCAATCGCAACATTTTTATGGCACATCTGAAAAATGTAAATGTTCTTTGCACCCATTACTATTAGTGTTCATGAAATGTAGCTTCACATGTGGGATTAATTAAATCTTGACAACATATTTTAGTAAGATAAATGACAATAGGAGAACATGGTTCAGCAGGGATGGAAAAGCACACAGCACGTCACGCAGGAGATGGGTGGGTTTTCTACTTTCTGATGTCTCTCTCTCTCTCTCTCTCTCTCTCTCTTAGTGAGCTTCGTGGACTGCGGTAGAGGGAAGGTGTGGTTCCAGATTGGCGACTCGTCTGATTTCAGGGTGAGTGAGGACGGTGCGATCTACACCCTTCATCGCCTCAGCCTTGTGGGAAGTGGAAAAGACGTGGCGGTGGTCTACGCCCGAGACCCGCAGTCCAAACAGGTCTGGAAGACCAGAGTGCACCTCCGCGTTGGTCCACATGGCAACAGCGCAGGACCTGAACAGGTAAAACAGCAGCAGCAGTACAGAGCCACTTGTAGATTTCACAAAGTATTGGACAGAGTGCACATCATTTAAAGAGTCGGCTCAGAAAACTTGTGATGGACATTTGTCACTTTTTTGATATTTTATAGATTCAATTATTAATTTTCCATTGTAAAATATGATTGATAGATTAATAAATAATGCTAATAATCTCTGGTTCCAGTCTTAATTTGGTATTACTGCTTATTTTACTCATTATGTTTTGTTAATTCCAATGTACGTAGCGCTCAATGACTTTGTTTACATGCACCAAATAATCCGTTTTTTTACCCGTATTCCGAAAATGACAATATTCCTAATAATCTCTTTACATGGCGAAAGCAAATTCATATTCCACTAATATTCCCTTTTACATGCAGCCGTGCATTTTCCGACGAATGTAAAATGAGCCCATGCTACATCCCATCACCGGGGCCAGTGAATCCCACGTCGACGTCATTCTCTTCTGTGTTTGACGTTCCGTTTATCATGACAACAAATGGAAAAGTGGAACGGCATTTTCCATTTGATTCTTTGCAGGAGAATCTGTTTTTCAAAGTGTTCCAGCAGTAGAGGACTTGTTGGACTGTGTGAACACAGCCTCCCTCTTTCATTCCTTCAAACACCTTCTTGAAAAGGTCGGCATTGTGATATTTGCACATATCCAAAAACCTGTTGATATCCAAATCCTTTATAATGTTTAAAAGTAGGTGTGTTTTTCCTTCTTTTGTTTTGGACATGCATCACGACTCCAGCTTTATAAACTATTGGCTAGTTGGTTTGTGTTCAACGCACAGAGCTGGTCGTAAACAGGAAAGAGGCTGTGTGTCAGAAATTCGCTTATTCCGAATGCTCTGTATACATGTCCATAGAATAGTCCTAAAACCTGAATAATGACATATTACACATGTTGTAATTGTAAAATGATCCATAAAGAATAAGGCGTGATTCAGAAAATCTGTACGGAATATGATCTTTACATGAACGCTTTCGAATTGGGAATATTGTCATATCTGGAATAATAGTGGAATATGAGAGTGCATTTAAAAGTAATCACTGTCTATTGTGAATATAGGGTGCACACAGATCTATTGTCTATAGTGAATATACGGTACACACAGATGTACTGTCTATAGTGAATATACGGTGCCCACAGATCTACTGCCTATAGTGAATATACAGTGCACACAGATCTACCGTCTATAGTGAATATACGGTGCACACAGATATACTGCTAATCGTGAA